GAAAGAAAACCTGCAGCCACACGGCCCTTTCTGGAACCGGTTTGACACTTGTGCCGTAGGCTATCGGGACCCCACCCGATACTGGTATCTGTATCTATGCAACACTAGATTTTAGTTTGAAATGAGACCGTGAGGCATTTGGTGAGCATGGGAGTGCCTGCGAGACCTTTAAAAGATTGAGTCTGGGTGGGATTTTCAGAAAACAAAGTATCATAAATTATTGTTTTTTTATTCCACATCATGAATCTCTTTCATGCTGTCGCTGTGTCACGATGACATCATCACTGTGCAGCTTCTGGTTTGTGGATTTAAGGAAGCTGCTTCCTGCCAAAGATGTTACTGTATGTGAGTTCTTGTTTCCATCCATTCTTGTGAGGACGCCTTGGGTCGGATTACCAAAGGGCTTTCAGAACCGGGTTCAGTTCAGGTTTCTGGGGCTGTTCCAGATTAGAGGCTCCGAAAGAAACAAAAAAAAACTGAATGTGTTTATTTCTGAGTTTAAGGACCTGTTTTGTTTGAGAGTTTTTCTGCAGTGGGCTGTTCAGAGGCTCATATTCACTCAGATTTAAAGTCCACTATGATCCTCTCAGGCAAAGACACGGGTGTGAATATTTATAACTAATGTAGAAACTCAGCTTGTTGCAATGTTTGTTTGTGCAGAAAGGGGCAGCAGAGCTTTTTCTTTCTCAAATACAATAAACCACTTTTTTCTGTCAATAAACAAGCATCCTAGAGAGTCTCCAACATTAATAAATTGAAGGAAAAAAATGCTTCATTTGAGTGTCCTTTTAATAAAATTTCAAACTCCCTTTGGCTGCGTTCCTTATTACCAATGTTTGATATTGTAGTTTTATTTGCTAAACCGCTTATTTTATAAGGTTCTTTAAAATAATGGTCAACAAGGTTCTGTACACGTATTGGTTGACATTAACAACCAAATATGACCAAAAATTGATACGATTAATTAAAATAAAATAATTTTAGAGATATAGTTGACCTACAGTAAATGGGTGTGTTTTAAGAGTAGATTTAACCTGATCCAAACCTAACCTTTGACTGCTTAACTTTACAAACGGCGCCCCATCAAAAACAATGGGAGTGGGGTGGTTTGACTGCTTTATTTAGAAAAACTCCTTCATACAAACAACATACATTTTTGAGAACTGTGAGAAGGAAAAAGCATCAGAAGACGGAGGAAGGCTTTTGGTTTGTCTCATGTAGGAGCAGCTACCAAGTGATTTATTTCTAAATATTTATATAGAAAAATGCATTAGCAAGATTTGTCATTTATTCACTACTATTAAATATTGTTATTTGACTATGTGACTAAAAAGAGAGGGGGACACTTGCATAGGGTTGGTGATGGCATCTGCAGAGGAGACCAGTGATGGCGTTAAGAATAAACACTAGTGAGGTCACAAAAACCCAAATAACCCACGGCGGCATACATTTCTGCTGTTTACCTAGCCTGATAAACCAGACTA